CCTTGTCGCCTGTCAGGAACCACCACTGTTTGTGATTTGCTCCGTGACTGTCTGCGTAGCGTTTCATTTGCTCAACACTGTCTACTTCAGGATTTACCGTAAAGCTCAAAATGCGAACATCTTCATCTCCATTGAATGCTTCCTGAACGCGCTGCATTTGAAGATTCATTTTCGGACAAATTGTTCCACAAGTCGTGAAAAAGTACTCTGCCACGTAAATTTTACCCGCTACATCTTTTTCAGAAATCGTGTTTCCAAGCTGGTTTTTGAAAGCAAACTTCCCAATGGTGTGTCCATAACCGATGCGCAGCAATTCTGGATCGACCATTTCTTCTTCAAGATCCACAGGATTAATAACAGGGAGCTTTTCTTCTTTGGGCTGCACATAGTAATACGTTAACCCAATCCCAACGATTAGAAAAATCGCGAAAAAGATGATTTTATTCATACCCGCAAATTTACGCATTAAACCTGTTCACACCGTGTCCAAAGGAACAGAAAGATTTTGGAGCACTGAGCTTCGTTTTCCGAAAGTTTATGGAGGAAAAACTCCTTTTTCATGGTTATTACGACGGAGAAACTCACGAAGCACTATTAAGATCAATGCATTGGTACGCTGAGCTTTGTTTTCCGAAATATAGGTAGGAAAGGCTCTCGAAGCGCACCAAAGCCCCAAGAATCTTGTTCAGATATCCATCTTCGTTCCATCGCTGAAGCTATAGCGAAAGAGACAAAAGCTCACGCTTCTCCCTCAGTTAAATCGCCGACCGGGCTCAACTTCGGTCTTCAAAAGCTGATGCTTTTTCTTACTTTTATTCCCCAAAGAAAATTAGAATGGCAATAAATACAGAATTACTTTCAAAAATATGTACAACGCCGGGGGCACCGGGGTTTGAGCAAAAAGTGCGTGAGCTGGTAATCAGTGAGGTAAAGGATTTGGTAGATGAGCTGGAGATTGATAACATGGGGAACGTCTATGCGATCAAACGAGGAACAGCGGCTACTGATGGAGAGAGAAATAAGCGAGTGATGGTCGGAGCGCACATGGATGAAATCGGATTTATTGTTACGCACATTGACGATAACGGATTTATCCGCTTTCATACATTGGGAGGATTTGACCCAAAAACATTGACAGCTCAGCGCGTGATCGTTCACGGAAAAGAAGATGTGATCGGAGTAATGGCTTCGAAGCCAATTCACGTAATGTCGCCAGAAGAGCGAAACAAGGTTGCAAAGACGAAAGATTACTTCATCGATACGGGAATGTCAGCCGAAAAGGTGAAAGAACTAGTTCAAGTGGGTGATTCAATCACACGTGAACGAGAATTCATTGAAATGGGCGACTGCGTAAACGGGAAATCATTGGATAATCGTTTGGCGGTATTCATTTTGCTTGAAACATTGAGAAACCTGAAGGATCAGGAGATTCCATTTGATCTATATGGAGTGTTTACAGTTCAAGAGGAAGTAGGAATTCGCGGGGCAAATGTATCGGCTATGCGTATTAATCCTGATTTTGGATTTGGATTAGACACA